AACCAAGGGTCCAACAAGGTTGGCAGGTAAGGATAAGTTACTTACACATTTAATGCTGGCAACAAATTTTTTAATTCTAGGGCTATGGAATTGCAAATTCATGTGTATTTAAGGATGGTAGATATGTCTGGGAATCTGATGTTTCATTCACAAGTGAAATCTGGTGGGACATGGATAGATATAGATGGTGATGGAATTTGTTTTATATGGCTTCACCATAAAAGATATTTTCTACAGTTTTGAGTTTTTATAATTTTAGAATTAATTTACAGTGACAATATTAAAGATCATGGAAGCAAGTTATACTGATTCTGGTTACGCATAAGAAAGCTATACACATGGTCAAACCTAATTAGGCAGGGGGTTCTACAAATATTTGATGTCTCGTTGTTTCAAACTGTTACTAACAAATTTTTGAGATGTCAGTTTTTAAATTATTTCTGATATTGCCAAGTTTCTAGAACTTATTTTGAATGAAATTATAAATTGATGAAAATTATCAATGTAATTAGGTATGGGAAGTGTTGCCAAAGTCCTCAAATCCTACTTAATGATTTCAAAATTGTGTAGCTTGGTACTGGTAATTTAAATAATTATATTATATGCAATAGTTGGTTATATAAGCATACTCAGAATACACAGTTTATGGAGGGGAGCGCTGTTTGGGTTCCCCTTCCAACACTTAGCACCCCTGCAGCACGTTTAATGGGGAGCACGAGTAGTGCTCTCCTTTATGGATTACTTTTGTCTTTCCAAATTTTTCTGTTCATACTTTAGTTTGACTTTCCAACAGACTTTGGAAGAAAACTCATCATGTTCATCTAGCTGGCTTATGGATCGGAACTTGCATTCAAATACAGTAGATGATGTCTCCAGCTTCCATGAAGGACTCAATGCCGCTAATTTACTCAATTCTCTAGCGCCTTGCCATATGAATTCTGATAAGACAAATGATTATTCTATACCAAATGACCTTCAAATACAGCCTTCAACCACTGAGCAAGAATATTATCTAAAGTCCATTTCAAAGAGAAATGAGACCATAGAGGGAAAAGCCAATCACACTTCTGCTATAAAGCCTTTGTTAGATGGCCCATTCACTGAAGGCTTGAAGAAGCTTGACAGTTTCAACCGATGGATGAGTAGAGAACTTGGAGACGTGGATGACACACAAACACAGTCCAATTCTGAGACCTACTGGGATACTGTTGAAAGTGAGAATGGGGTTGATGAGTCCAGTGTTCCCCTGCAAGTACGCTTGGATAGCTATATGCTGGGGCCTTCTCTTTCCCAAGACCAGCTCTTTAGCATTATTGATTTTTCACCAAACTGGGCATATGAAAACTCTGAAATCAAGGTAATGTATAATTTAATCTTCCTTGCCACTATATCAAATAAATCTTTGAATGCATCATCTCATCTTGGTGGGAAACAACCAAGAGATTTAAAGAGAGCTGTACTTTTGTGTAAGAGTTATATTCTAGTTTAGTTTCTCAAGTATCACAGAATTGTCTCATTTAGTCCTCAATTTGTGCAGGTTCTGATCACGGGAAGATTCTTGAAGAGTCAACAAGCAGAAGCTTGTAAATGGTCATGTATGTTTGGGGAAGTTGAAGTTCGTGCTGAGGTTATAGCAGATGGTGTTCTTCGTTGTTATACACCCGTCCATAAGGCTGGGAGGGTTCCATTCTATGTGACATGTTCCAATAGGCTAGCGTGTAGTGAAGTGAGGGAATTTGAATACCGAGTTGGCCAAATTCCAGATTATGATGCTAAAGATGATAACAGTGGCTGCACAAACGATATACTTAGTATGCGGTTTGGAAAATTGTTGTCTCTAAGCTCTACTTCTCCAATTTTTGATCCCAACAGTCTGGCAGAGAATTCAGTGTTGATCAATAAAATTGATTCATTGCTGAAAAATGACAATGGTGAGTGGGACAGGATGCTACAGCTTACGTCAGATGAAGACTTTTCCTTGGAGAGAGTAGAGGAGCAGTTGCTTCATCAGCTACTTAAAGAGAAGTTGCATGTATGGCTCTTACAGAAGCTGGCTGTTGGTGGGAAAGGCCCTAGTGTACTAGACGAGGATGGCCAAGGTGTGTTACATTTTGGAGCAGCTCTTGGCTATGATTGGGTCTTGCTGCCCACAATAACTGCCGGAGTCAGTGTCAATTTTCGTGATGTGAATGGATGGACCGCT